TGGTAGCACTTCTGGCAGCTCTTCTGGCAGCACCTCTAACAGCTCCTCTGACAGCACTTCTAACAGCACTTCTGGTAGCACTTCTGGCAGCACTTCTGGCAGCACTTTAGGCAGCACTTCTGGCAGCCCCCCTGTTGCAGCTCCTCTGACAGCACTTCTAACAGCACTTCTGGCAGCACCTCTGACAGCACTTCTGACAGCACTTCTGGCAGTACTTCTGGCAGCACCTCTGGCAGCACTTCTGGCAGAACCTCTGACAGCACCTCTGACAGCACTTCTGGCAGCACTTCTGGCAGCACTTCAGACAGCACTTCTGGCAGCACCTCTGGCAGCACATCTGGCAGCACTTCTGGCAGCACTTCTGGCAGCATTTCTGGCATCACCTCTGACAGCACTTCTGGCAGCACTTCTGGCAGTACTTCTGGCAGCACCTCTGACAGCACTTCTGGCAGCACCTCTGACAGCACTACTGACAGCACTTCTGGCGGTTCTTCTGGCAGCACCTCTGACAGCACTTCTGGCAGCACCTCTGACAGCACTACTGACAGCACTTCTGGCGGTTCTTCTGGCAGAACTTCTAGCAGACTTTCGGCAGTACTTCTGGCAGCACCTCTGACAGCACTTCTGGCAGTACTTCTGGCAGTACTTCTGGCAGCAGTTATGGCAGCACTTCTGGCAGCACCTCTGGCAGTACTTCTGGCAGCACTTCTGGCAACACTTAATGTAGCACTTTTGGCAGCACTTCTCGCAGGACTTCTGGCAGCACTTCTGGCAAAACTTCGGGCAGCACTTCTGGCAACACCCCCCTCCCCATCCGGCCCGTTTGCGCCGTGAGGGGGCTTAGTGAACGGCTGCTGGAGTGTGATGCTCCGTGGGGCAGTTCTCTTTCCTTTTTTGGCCTTGCACTCCTGCTGCTGTCTTCTCTAATTGTGCCGGATCGCTTTTCCTTTTCCTTATGTTTCGTTTTTCTCCCCCTCTTCTCTTTCTGCTTGTCGTTTCCTGCCGACCTTTTGCTAGTTTTGGTTATTCCTTTGGACTTCGTCTATTTTGACGCCCGGGTGCTTGAGGAGGCATATTCCTGCACCCGTAGAACTGTAGTACCCAACGTCGAGAGCGAGGGGAACCTTTTATTGTCACTCCCCCTTTCGTCGCTGAACCCGATCTCGACGGACTGACGGTTCTTAATAATAAGGTAACATTTGTGGGGCGTATACTCAAGACGCTCCCCTAGGAGGCCCCGGCATGATCGGCGATAGCTTCCTGTTGGGTGTCCTGCCTCTAATTGTGGCTCCATGGTGGGTATGGGGGCACATTCATGGATGAATTTCTCTCTTCGTCTCTATGTTGATGAATGTTTCTGTTGTACCCTCTCAGGCTCGTGGGGTGGGCGACCAATCCCCTGAGTCGGCCTGTATTGGAAGACCGGGCTTTGTAGCCCCCGCTGCGTTGGGCCCCGACCTTGCTCCTCCTTTGACCCTCCTGACTTCTTCCCCTAGCTCCCCTCCCTCCTCTGTGGTTGGGTCGAGCCTCAAGTCCCCAGTGGTGACCACTTCGTCCCCTGGTGCAGCTAAGTCTCTCATTGTGACTACTGCGCCTTTTAACCCCTCTCTCTCTCTCTCTGGGGGTTCTCAACGCTGTCCGCGCCATGGCCGCACTCGCTTGATTCCTTCCCGTACTGATATATCAGGCCTTGTTTGGTCCCGCTTCATGGGTCGAATACTTTGATCTCCTCCCTCTTGATTCTGCGCCTCCTGATGATTTCTCCCTCCATTGGTATCTTGTTGATTCCGTGGATGCCTCTGTTACCTTCAACCCCTCTCGTCTCGTACACGTGTCGTTGCTGCTCCTTCTCAGGGTGCAGCTTCCCACTTGGCTGCCTTGGCGAGATCCCTATTCGGGTCTCAAAGAATGCTCGGTTGAATGGCAGTGTTGGCACTATTCTCCTCCCGCCCCATGTTGCGACCGGTGTTCGGAATCTGCAGGATTGCCATGATGATATTCGGCATTCGGCATATGTCCTCCAGGTAGACTCGTTTACTCGTCCCCCTCGTGGTCGTCGCCGTCAACCCCTTCGGGTTTTGAAGATTACCTTTGATGGTAGGACCCATTAACCATCCTCTGTCATTCTTGCTGGTGCCAGGTGCTCTGTCCAGGAGTACATTCCTTCTCCTCAGCTTCGTAACAAGTGCTGGAGGTTTGGGCATGGTGCCCTCCGCTGCTCTGGGACTGTCTCTCTCTGTTCTTTGTGTGGGGGTGAAGGTCACTCTAAGTCGGAGTGCACTTTTTCCCAGGCTCGCTGCCTCAACTGCGGTGAGGCCCACCCTACCTTCTCCAGTGCCTGTATCCATTACAAGCTTGAGGCAGCCGTCCTCAACTTGAAGCACCGGGAGCGTTTATCTTTTCCTGAGGCGAGGCGCCAGGTTCGCCGGCTCCCGCCTTACGCTAACATCTCTTATGCTCGTGTGTTGCGCTCTTCCTCTCGTCCTTCCCACCTTCCTCAGACCCACAACCGTTTCCGGGCCTTGGATCCTGATACGCCCACTGCCCCCTCCTCTGTTCCTTTGAGTTCTGTCCCGAAGGGTCCCCCTCCTGGTCCTCTGTCTGGGGTTCCCCTTCTTTATGCCCGGTCTGTCATGTCTCCTGTGTCTTCTTCCTCGTCTCCCTCCGATCCTCCTTCCACTCCTTCTCCTCCATCTATTGACTCTCCCCACCACCTGTCAGTGTGGGCTGATGTCCATTGCTCTCCTACCGGCCATCGTGTGTGCTCTCGTTCAGCTTCTCCTGTTGAGACACTGGAATCCGTTGCCCAGTACGTAGTTGCTGAGACACCTGTCTCTTTAAGTCAGAAGCATAAGCCTGGCTCCTCTCCTTCCTCCTCCCCGGCAAGTAAGAAGGCTTCGCTTTCTTCCTCGGCCCCTACTTCTGACTCTATCGCCCCTTTCCCTCCCGTTTTGGTGGTTGTGCCTCCTGTTCCTGCTGTGGAGGTTTCTTTGGCCCCCACTTCCCTCTCGATTGCTGCCCTTGCTGAAGTGTGCTCCCCTCTTTCTACTCCCCATCTTCCTGCTGCTGTCCTTGACTACTCCTCTCGGTTGCCTCCTCCTCCTCCTCCTCCTCCTCCTCCTCCGGACCCCGCCCATCTGTTCTCCTGCTTCCTTCCCTCCGTTTTTGCTCAGTTTACCCATGCTCCCTAACCCTGACTTTGCTGACCCTGATCCCGACCCTGATCTTCTTTAACGTACTATGTTGCTCTTTCGCCTTTGTTTCTTCCTTGTTCTCTGTTGTTATCCTTTCTCTTCTCGTCGATGTCTATTCTTCAATGGAACGTTCGGGGTTATTACGCCAATTTCTTTGAACTCCAACTTCTGATTTCGCGATTTTCACCCCTTTGTGTCTGTCTCCAGGAGCCGATGCTTGGTGCTCGTCCTGGTTGATTTCGTGGCTATTCCTTTCTCTCTCCCCCCCCCCAAGCCGTTGCTGGGGCTCCTAACTCTTCTGCTCTCCTGATTCGCTCTGATGTTCCCTCTGTTCCCTTACTTTTTCCTTCGCCTCTCCATTGTTCAGCTGCTTATATCTTTGTGGGGAAATGGTACACCGTTTGTTCCATTTATCTCCCCCCGAGTGTCCCGCTTTCTCTTCCTGATCTGAAACACTTACTGGACTGAAACACTTGCCGGAGCCTGTGCTCCTGCTGGGTGATTTCAATTGTCGTCATTCCCTTTGGGGTGATGTTCTGACGAAGACCCGTGGTCGCCTTCTTGAGCCGTTTACCCTCTCTTCTTCCCTGTCTCTTCTGAATTCTGGTGTGCCCACACATTTGGTCTCTCGGACTCGCACCCTTTCCTGTCTTGATCTTTCTCTTTGCTCGTTTTCTCTTTACTTAGATTTCACGTGGCAGGTTCTTGATGACCTCCATGGCAGTGACCATTTCCCCATCCTTGTTACCTTTTTCTCTTTTCGCCCTCCCCTCTCCTTCCCTAGGTAGCATTTGCCAAAGCGGACTGGAACCTCTTTATCCTCAGTACTACTCTCTCTGGCCTCTCCCTTCTGCCTCTCCCTCTCTCTCTCCTCCTTTTCATGACACTGTCTTCGACGCTGCCCTCCACTCTATTCCTAACACTTCCTCTCGGGGTCCACGGAAGTGAGTTCCCTGGTGAAATGCAAACTGTGCTCGGGCTGTCCACTGTAAGCGTACAGCCTGGAAGAGACACCGCCGTCGGCAGACGGCCGATTCTTTTCTTTTCTTTCGGAAGGTGAGTGCGGTGGCCCCGTAGGGCCATCCATACGGCTAAACGTGAATGGTAGGGTATCTTATGTCTCCACCATTACGTCCGAAACTCCTCTGCCACAGATCTGCAAGCGTATTCGCAAGATAGCGGGTAAGTTCGTTCCCGATGTTTCACCGGTCCTTCACCTCTGTGGTACTCTTGTGACGGACCCGTTGCAGGTCGCTACCGAACTGGGTTCCCACTTTTCTTCTGTTAGCTCTGGTCTTCATCTTCCCCTATCTTTCCTTCTTCGTAAACCTGTCCTCGAGTCTCGTCCTTTAAATTTCTGCACTCGTCTTCGATTTCCCTATAATGATCCCTTCTCTCTCTCTCTGAACTTCGTTCTGCCCTGGCCCTCTGCGGTTCTACGGCGGCGGGCTCCGATGGTATTCATTATGAGATGCTTTGCCATCTCCCTCCGTGCACGTCTCAGTATTTACTGAGTCTGTTTAATCGGATCTGGGAGTCGTCGTTAGTCCCTGAGGACTGGCTCGATGCCGTTGTCCTCCCTGTTCGCAAACCAGGGTCTCTGGGAACATCCCCTAAGGACTTTCGCCCTATTGCCCTCACAAGTTGTGTCTACAAATTCTTTGAACGTATGGTTAACGTTCGTCTGATGTGGTTCCTGGAACACCATCACCTCCTCTCCCCTTCTCAATTTGGTTTCCGCAAGTGCCGCAGCACGACAGATGTCCTGGTGAACTTGGAGGTCTATATTGTGACTCCTGGGGGTCCTTAGGCCCAAACACAGCGGGAGATGGAACTCGTTACCACTGAAATTGTCAACTGATAAAACAAACAACAGAGGAGGTGTTTTGAAGCAGGTGAGCGCCAAGTACAGGGAACAACTCTCCCACGTCCTCAGAGACACGCCATGAGACTTTTCTAGAAGCTTCCATGAGGAGAGTCTGCTCTTTGTTAATGACTGTAAACCAATTTGTGTGTCCACTAAGGGAACCATCAGCTAACTACTCTGACGACCTCTAAACATCATGGGTACTCATGGTAAACCACCTGACAGATAGTTTACCATGAGTAAGACGCAGCTGGTCCTAGACAGGATACATTTATCTTTGCTAGGTGTGTTGGGTCACGTTCACTCTGGAGGTGTGTTGGGTCACCTTCACCCTGGAGGTGAGTTGGGTCACCTTCACCCTGGAGGTGTGTTGGGTCACGTTCACTCTGGAGGTGAGTTGGTCACCTTCACCCTGGAGGTGAGTTGGGTCACGTTCACTCTGGAGGTGTGTTGGGTCACCTTCACCCTGGAGGTGTGTTGGGTCACCTTCACCCTGGAGGTGTGTTGGGTCACCTTCACCCTGGAGGTGAGTTGGGTCACCTTCACCCTGGAGGTGTGTTGGGTCACCTTCACCCTGGAGGTGAGTTGGGTCACCTTCACCCTGGAGGTGTGTTGGGTCACCTTCACCCTGGAGGTGTGTTGGGTCACCTTCACCCTGGAGGTGAGTTGGGTCACCTTCACCCTGGAGGTGAGTTGGGTCACCTTCACCCTGGAGGTGTGTTGGGTCACGTTCACTCTGGAGGAGTGTTGGGTCACCTTCACCCTGGAGGTGAGTTGGGTCACCTTCACCCTGGAGGTGTGTTGGGTCACGTTCACTCTGGAGGTGAGTTGGGTCACCTTCACCCTGGAGGTGAGTTGGGTCACCTTCACTCTGGAGGTGAGTTGGGTCACGTTCACCCTGGAGGTGAGTTGGGTGACCTTCACCCTGGAAGTGTGTTGGGTCACGTTCGCTCTGGAGGTGTGTTGGGTCACGTTCACCCTGGAGGTGTGTTGGGTCACGTTCACCCTGGAGGTGTGTTGAGTCACGTTCACTCTGGAGGTGTGTTGGGTCACGTTCACTCTGGAGGTGTGTTGGGTCACGTTCACCCTGGAGGTGTGTTGGGTCACCTTCACCCTGGAGGTGTGTTGGGTCACGTTCACTCTGGAGGTGTGTTGGGTCACCTTCACCCTTGAGGTGAGTTGGGTCACGTTCACTCTGGAGGTGTGTTGGGTCACCTTCACCCTGGAGGTGAGTTGGGTCACGTTCACCCTGGAGGTGAGTTGGGTCACCTTCACCCTGTAGGTGTGTTGGGTCACCTTCACCCTGGAGGTGTGTTGGGTCAACTTCACCCTGGAGATGAGTTGGGTCACGTTCACCCTGGAGGTGTGTTGGGTCACCTTCACCCTGGAGGTGAGTTGGGTCACCTTCACTCTGGAGGTGAGTTGGGTCACCTTCACCCTGGAGGTGAGTTGGGTCACGTTCACCCTGGAGGTGAGTTGGGTCACCTTCACCCTGTAGGTGTGTTGGGTCACCTTCACCCTGGAGGTGTGTTGGGTCAACTTCACCCTGGAGGTGAGTTGGGTCACCTTCACCCTGGAGGTGTGTTGGGTCACCTTCACCCTGGAGGTGAGTTGGGTCACCTTCACTCTGGAGGTGAGTTGGGTCACCTTCACCCTGGAGGTGAGTTGGGTCACCTTCACCCTGGAGGTGAGTTGGGTCACCTTCACCCTGGAGGTGAGTTGGGTCACCTTCACCCTGGAGGTGAGTTGGGTCACCTTCACCCTGGAGGTGAGTTGGGTCACGTTCACTCTGGAGGTGTGTTGGGTCACGTTCACTCTGGAGGTGTGTTGGGTCACGTTCACTCTGGAGGTGTGTTGGGTCACGTTCACCCTGGAGGTGTGTGGGTCACCTTCACCCTGGAGGTGAGTTGGGTCACGTTCACTCTGGAGGTGTGTTGGGTCACCTTCACCCTGGAGGTGAGTTGGGTCACCTTCACCCTGGAGGTGAGTTGGGTCACCTTCACTCTGGAGGTGTGTTGGGTCACCTTCACTCTGGAGGTGAGTTGGGTCACGTTCACTCTGGAGGTGAGTTGGGTCACTTTCACTCTGGAGGTGAGTTGGGTCACGTTCACTCTGGAGGTGAGTTGGGTCACCTTCACCCTGGAGGTGTGTTGGGTCACCTTCACTCTGGAGGTGAGTTGGGTCACGTTCACTCTGGAGGTGAGTTGGGTCACCTTCACCCTGGAGGTGAGTTGGGTCACCTTCACCCTGGAGGTGTGTTGGGTGACCTTCATCCTAGAGGTGTGTTGGGTCACGTTCACTCTGGAGGTGTGTTGGGTCACGTTCACTCTGGAGGTGTGTTGGGTCACGTTCACTATGGAGGTGTGTTGGGTCACCTTCACCCTGGAGGTGTGTTGGGTCACGTTCACTCTGGAGTGTGTTGGGTCACCTTCACCCTGGAGGTGAGTTGGGTCACCTTCACCCTGGAGGTGTGTTGGGTCACCTTCACCCTGGAGGTGAGTTGGGTCACCTTCACCCTGGAGGTGAGTTGGGTCACCTTCACCCTGGAGGTGTGTTGGGTCACCTTCACCCTGGAGGTGTGTTGGGTCACGTTCACTCTGGAGGTGTGTTGGGTGACCTTCACCCTGGAGGTGAGTTGGGTCACCTTCACCCTGGAGGTGTGTTGGGTCACGTTCACTCTGGAGGTGCGTTGGGTCACGTTCACCCTGGAGGTGTGTTGGGTCACCTTCACTCTGGAGGTGAGTTGGGTCACGTTCACCCTGGAGGTGAGTTGGGTGACCTTCACCCTGGAAGTGTGTTGGGTCACGTTCGCTCTGGAGGTGTGTTTGGTCACGTTCACCCTGGAGGTGTGTTGGGTCACGTTCACCCTGGAGGTGTGTTGGGTCACGTTCACTCTGGAGGTGTGTTGGGTCACGTTCACTCTGGAGGTGTGTTGGGTCACGTTCACCCTGGAGGTGTGTTGGGTCACCTTCACCCTGGAGGTGTGTTGGGTCACGTTCACTCTGGAGGTGTGTTGGGTCACCTTCACCCTTGAGGTGAGTTGGGTCACGTTCACTCTGGAGGTGTGTTGGGTCACCTTCACCCTGGAGGTGAGTTGGGTCACGTTCACCCTGGAGGTGAGTTGGGTCACCTTCACCCTGTAGGTGTGTTGGGTCACCTTCACCCTGGAGGTGTGTTGGGTCAACTTCACCCTGGAGATGAGTTGGGTCACGTTCACCCTGGAGGTGTGTTGGGTCACCTTCACCCTGGAGGTGAGTTGGGTCACCTTCACTCTGGAGGTGAGTTGGGTCACCTTCACCCTGGAGGTGAGTTGGGTCACGTTCACCCTGGAGGTGAGTTGGGTCACCTTCACCCTGTAGGTGTGTTGGGTCACCTTCACCCTGGAGGTGTGTTGGGTCAACTTCACCCTGGAGGTGAGTTGGGTCACCTTCACCCTGGAGGTGTGTTGGGTCACCTTCACCCTGGAGGTGAGTTGGGTCACCTTCACTCTGGAGGTGAGTTGGGTCACCTTCACCCTGGAGGTGAGTTGGGTCACCTTCACCCTGGAGGTGAGTTGGGTCACCTTCACCCTGGAGGTGAGTTAGGTCACCTTCACCCTGGAGGTGAGTTGGGTCACCTTCACCCTGGAGGTGAGTTGGGTCACGTTCACTCTGGAGGTGTGTTGGGTCACGTTCACTCTGGAGGTGTGTTGGGTCACGTTCACTCTGGAGGTGTGTTGGGTCACGTTCACCCTGGAGGTGTGTTGGGTCACCTTCACCCTGGAGGTGAGTTGGGTCACGTTCACTCTGGAGGTGTGTTGGGTCACCTTCACCCTGGAGGTGAGTTGGGTCACCTTCACCCTGGAGGTGAGTTGGGTCACCTTCACTCTGGAGGTGTGTTGGGTCACCTTCACTCTGGAGGTGAGTTGGGTCACGTTCACTCTGGAGGTGAGTTGGGTCACTTTCACTCTGGAGGTGAGTTGGGTCACGTTCACTCTGGAGGTGAGTTGGGTCACCTTCACCCTGGAGGTGTGTTGGGTCACGTTCACTCTAGGGGTGAGTTGGGTCACGTTCACTCTAGGGGTGAGTTGGGTCACGTTTACTCTAGGGGTGAGTTGGGTGACCTTCACCCTGGAGGTGAGTTGGGTCACCTTCACCCTGGAGGTGTGTTGGGTCACGTTCACTCTGGAGGTGTGTTTGGGTCACCTTCACCATGGAGGTGTGTTGGGTCACGTTCACTCTGGAGGTGTGTTGGGTCACGTTCACCCTGGAGGTGTGTTGGGTCACGTTCACTCTGGAGGTGTGTTGGGTCACCTTCACTCTGGAGGTGTGTTGGGTCACCTTCACTCTGGAGGTGTGTTGGGTCACGTTCACTCTGGAGGTGTGTTGGGTCACCTTCACTCTGGAGGTGTGTTGGGTCACCTTCACTCTGGAGGTGTGTTGGGTCACCTTCACCCTGGAGGTGTGTTAATGGGTGACCTTCACCCTGGAGGTGTGTTGGGTCACCTTCACTCTGGAGGTGTGTTGGGTCACCTTCACTCTGGAGGTGTGTTGGGTCACCTTCACCCTGGAGGTGTGTTAATGGGTGACCTTCACCCTGGAGGTGTGTTGGGTCACCTTCACTCTGGAGGTGTGTTGGGTCACCTTCACTCTGGAGGTGTGTTGGGTCACCTTCACTCTGGAGGTGTGTTGGGTCACCTTCACCCTGGAGGTGTGTTAATGGGTGACCTTCACCCTGGAGGTGTGTTGGGTCACCTTCACTCTGGAGGTGTGTTGGGTCACGTTCACCCTGGAGGTGTGTTGGGTCACCTTCACCCTGGAGGTGTGTTGGGTCACGTTCACTCTGGAGGTAAGTTGGGTCACGTTCACCCTGGAGGTGTGTTGGGTCACGTTCACCCTGGAGGTGTGTTGGGTCACCTTCACCCTGGAGGTGAGTTGGGTCACCTTCACCCTGGAGGTGAGTTGGGTCACTTTCACCCTGGAGGTGAGTTGGGTCACCTTCCAAGGGTCTAAGACTTCAATCAGTTCATATGATGAAGAGAGAGAGAGAGAGAGAGAGAGAGAGAGAGAGAGAGAGAGAGAGAGAGAGAGAGAGAGAGAGAGAGAGAGAGAGAGAGAGAGAGAGAGAGAGAGAGAGAGAGAGAGAGAGAGAGAGAGAGAGAGAGAGAGAGAGAGAGAGAGAGAGAGAGAGAGAGAGAGAGAGAGAGAGAGAGAGAGAGAGAGAGAGAGAGAGAGAGAGAGAGAGAGAGAGAGAGAGAGAGAGAGAGAGAGAGAGAGAGAGAGAGAGAGAGAGAGAGAGAGAGAGAGAGAGAGAGAGAGAGAGAGAGAGAGAGAGAGAGAGAGAGAGAGAGAGAGAGAGAGAGAGAGAGAGAGAGAGAGAGAGAGAGAGAGAGAGAGAGAGAGAGAGAGAGAGAGAGAGAGAGAGAGAGAGAGAGCGTGAGAGAGAGAGAGAGAGAGAGCGTGAGAGAGAGAGAGAGAGAGCGTGAGAGAGAGAGAGAGAGAGCGTGAGAGAGAGAGAGAGAGAGAGCGTGAGAGAGAGAGAGAGGGTGAGAGAGAGAGAGAGAGAGAGAGAGAGAGAGAGAGAGAGAGAGAGAGTGTGAGTGAGCTAATAACACCAGACGTAGGAACCTGAGATCGTTTCTCGGACAAATGGTATATGTCAGAGGAAAATTACACCGAGGTAACCTGTCCACTCCTGCGTGGTCAAGGCTCCAAGTGGTAGCTCACTAGAACACGTGGTCAAGGCTCCACGTGGTGGCTCAATACAACACGTCGTCATGGCTCCACGTGGTTGCTCACGAGAACACGTGGTTAAGGCTCCACGTCGTGGCTCACTAGAACACGTGGTCAAGGCTCCAGGTGGTGGCTCGCCAGAAAACGAGATCAAGGCTCCACGTGGTGGCCCACTAGAACACGTGGTCAAGGCTCCACGTGGTGGCTCACCAGAACAAGTGGTCATGGCTCTACGTGGTGGCTCACAGAACACGTGGTCAAGGCTCCACGTGGTGGCTCACCAGAATCCATGGTCAAGGCTCCACGCGGTGGCTCCCCAGAAGAAGTGGTCAAGGCTCCACGTGGTAGCTCCACTGAACACGTGGTCAAGGCTCCACGAGTTGGCGCACCTGAACAGGTGGTCAAAGCTCAACGTGGTGGCTAACCAGAACACGTGGTCAAGGCTCCACGTGGTGGCTCCCTAGAACACGTGGTCATTGCTCCACGAGGTGGCTCACCAGAACACGTGGTCAAAGCTCAACGTGGTGGCTAACCAGAACACGTGGTAAAGGCTCAACGTGGTGGCTCACCAGAACACGTGGTCAAGGCTCCACGTGGTGGCCCCCCAAAACACGTGGTGATTCACCCGAGCACGTAGTCAAGGTTCCACGTGGTGGCTCACCAGAACCCGTGGTCAAGGCTCCACGTGGTGATTCACCCGAACACGTGGTCAAAGCTCCACGTGGTGGCTCACTAGAAAACAAGGTCAAGGCTCAACGTGGTGGCTCACCAGAACACGTGGTCAAGGCTCCACGTGGTGGCCCCCAGAACACGTGGTCAAGGCTCCACGTGGTGATTCACCCGAACACGTAGTCAAGGTTCCACGTGGTGGCTCACCAGAACACGTGGTCAAGGCTCCAGGTAGTGGCTCGCTAGAACACATGGTCAAGGCTCCACGTGGTGGCTCGCTAGAACACATGGTCAAGGCTCCACGTGGTGGCTCGCTAGAACACATGGTCAAGGCTCCACGTGGTGGCTCGCTAGAACAAGTGGTCAAGGCTCCACGTGGTGGCTCACCAGAACAAGTGGTCAAGGCTCCACGTGGTGGCTCACCAGAACAAGTGGTCAAGGCTCCACGGGGTGGCTCGCCAGAACACGTGACCTAGGCTCCACGTGGTGGCTCACCTGAACACGTGGTCATGGCTACACGTGGTGGCTCCCCAGAACACGTGGTCAAGGCTCCATGTGGTTGCTCGCTAGAACACGCTGTCAAGGCTCCACGTAGTGGTTTACCAGAACACGTGGTCAAGGCTCCACGTGGTGGCTCACCAGAACACGTGGTCAAGGCTCCACGTGGTAGCTCATCAGAACACGTGGTCAAGACTCCACGTGGTGGCTCATAAGAACACGTGGTCAAGTCTCTACGTGGTGGCTCACCAGAACACGTGGTCAAGGCTCCACGTGGTGGCTCGCCAGAACCAGTGGTCAAGGCTCCACGTGGTGGCTCACCAGAACACATGGTCATGGCTCTACGTGGTTGCACACCAGAACACGTGGTTAAGGCTCCACGTCGTGGCTCACTAGAACACGTGGGTCAAGGCTTCGCGTGGTGGCTCACCAGAACAAGTGGTCAAGGCTTCACGTGGTCGCTCGCTAGAACAAGTGGTCAAGGCTCCACGTGGTGGCTCACCAGAACAAGTGGTCATGGCTCCACGTGTGGCTCACCAGAACACGTGGTCAAGGCTCCACGTGTAGTTCCCTAGAACACGTGGTCAAGGCTCCTCGTGGTGGCTCACCAGAACACGTGGTCAAGGCTCCACGTGGGGGCACACCAGAACACGTGATCATGACTCCACGTGATGGATCACCAGAACACGTGGTCAAGGCTCCACGTGTGGCTCCCTAGAACACGTGATCAAGGCTCCACCTGGTGGCACACCAGAACACGTGGTCAAGGCTCCACGTGTGGCTCCCTAGAACACGTGGTCATGGGTCCACCTGGTGGCACACCAGAACACGTGGTCAAGGCTCCACGTGTGGCTCCCTAGAACACGTGGTCAAGGCTCCACGTGGTGGCTCGCCAGAACCAGTGGTCAAGGCTCCACGTGGTGGCTCACCAGAACACATGGTCAAGGCTCTACGTGGTGGCTCGCCAGAACACGAGATCAAGGCTTCACGTGGTGGCACCCTAGAACATGTGGTCAAGGCTCCACGTGGTTGCACACCAGAACACGTGGTTAACGCTCCACGTCGTGGCTCACTAGAACACGTGGGTCAAGGCTTCACGTGGTGGCTCACCAGAACACGAGATCAAGGCTTCACGTGGTGGCACCCTAGAACATGTGGTCAAGGCTCCACGTGGTTGTACACCAGAACACGTGGTTAAGGCTCCACGTCGTGGCTCACTAGAACACGTGGGTCATGGCTCCACGTGGTGGCTCACTAGAACACGTGGTCAAGGCTCCAGGTGGTGGCTCGCCCGAACACGAGATCAAGGCTTCACGTGGTGGCTCGTCAGAACACATGGTCTAGGCTCCACGTGGTGGCGCCCTAGAACAAGTAGTCAAGGCTCCACGTGGTGGCTCGCTAGAACACATGGTCAAGGCTCCACGTGGTGGCTCACCAGAACAAGTAGTCAAGGCTCCACGTGGTGGCTCACCAGAACAAGTGGTCATGGCTCCACGTGGTGGCTCACCTGAACACGTGGTCATGGCTCCACGTGGTGGCTCACCAGAACCCGTGGTCAAGGTTCCACGTGGTGGCTCACCAGAACAAGTGGTCAAGGCCCCACGGGGTGGCTCGCCATAACACGTGACCTAGGCTCCACGTGGTGGCTCACCTGAACACGTGGTCAAGGCTACACGTGGTGGCTCCCCAGAACACGTAGTCAAGGCTCCATGTGGTTGCTCGCTAGAACACGCTGTCAAGGCTCCACGTAGTGGCGCGCCAGAACACGTGGTCAAGGCTCCACGTGGTGACTCGGTAGAACACGTGGTCAAGGCTCCACGTGGTGGCGCGCCAGAACACGTGGTCAAGGCTCCACGTGGTGGCACCCTAGAACATGTGGTCAAGGCTCCACGTGGTGGCATACCAGAACACGTGGTCAAGGCTCCACGTGGTGGCACCCTAGAACACGTAGTCAAGGTTCCACGTGGTGGCTCACCAGCACTCGTGGTCAAGGCTCCACGTGGTAGCTCCTTAGAACACGTAGTCAAGGTTCCACGTGCTGGTTCACCAGAACACGTGGTCAAGGCTCCACGTGGTGGCTCACCAGAACACGTGGTCAAGGCTCCACGTGGTAGCTCATCAGAACACGTGGTCAAGACTCCACGTGGTGGCTCATAAGAACACGTGGTCAAGGCTCTACGTGGTGGCTCACCAGAACACGTGGTCAAGGCTCCACGTGGTGGCTCGCCAGAACCAGTGGTCAAGGCTCCACGTGGTGGCTCACCAGAACACATGGTCATGGCTCTACGTGGTTGCACACCAGAACACGTGGTTAAGGCTCCACGTCGTGGCTCACTAGAACACGTGGGTCAAGGCTTCACGTGGTGGCTCGCCAGAACAAGTGGTCAAGGCTTCACGTGGTCGCTCGCTAGAACAAGTGGTCAAGGCTCCACGTGGTGGCTCACCAGAACAAGTGGTCATGGCTCCACGTGTGGCTCACCAGAACACGTGGTCAAGGCTCCACGTGTAGTTCCCTAGAACACGTGGTCAAGGCTCCTCGTGGTGGCTCACCAGAACACGTGGTCAAGGCTCCACGTGGGGGCACACCAGAACACGTGGTCATGACTCCACGTGATGGATCACCAGAACACGTGGTCAAGGCTCCACGTGTGGCTCCCTAGAACACGTGATCAAGGCTCCACCTGGTGGCACACCAGAACACGTGGTCAAGGCTCCACGTGTGGCTCCCTAGAACACGTGGTCATGGGTCCACGTGGTGGCTCATCAGAACACGTGGTCATGCCTCCACGTGGTGGCTCATCAGAACACGTGGTCAAGGCTCCACGTGGTGGCTCACCAGAACACGTGGTCATGGCTCTACGTGGTGGTTCCCTAGAACAAGTGGTCAACGCTCCACGTGGTAGCTCCACAGAACACGTGGTTAAGGCTCCACGTGGTGGCTCCCTTGAACAAGTGGTCAAGGCTCCACGTGGTGGCTCCACAGAACCCGTGGTCAAGGGTCCACGTGGTAGCACACCAGAACAAGTGGTCATGACTCCACGTGGTGGCTCACCAGAAAACGTGGTCATGCCTCCACGTGCTGGCTCACCAAAACCCGTGGTTAAGGCTCCACGTAGTGGCTCACCAGGACAAGTGGTCATGGCTCCACGTGGTGGCTCACCAGAACCCGTGGTCAAGGCTCCACGTGGTGGCTCCCTAGAACATGTGGTCAAGGCTCCAATTGGTGGCTCCCCAGAACAACTGGTCTAGACTCCACGTGGTGGTTCCCAAGAACACGTGGACAAAGCTCCACGTGTTGGCTCCCTAGAGCACGTGGTCAAAGCTCCACGTGGTGGCTCCCCAGAACACGTGGTCAAGGCTCCAAGAGTCGGCTCCCCAGAACACGTGGTCAAGGCTTTCAATATATATATCCAAAAGCTGATATGTCAATTATTATTTTTACAGAAGGGAGAGGAGCAGGAGCCAAGCAGAGAACAAGGAGGCGAGATTTAATTGACAGTTAAATGAGAGTAATTGGATGAGAACTGAGACGCCTGTCACCAGAGTGCCAGGGGCAGAGGAGACAGTAACACCAGAGGGGCAGGGGTAGTGGTGACGGTAACACTAGAGGGGCAGGGGTAGTGGTGACAGTAACACCAGAGGGGCAGGGGTAGTGGTGACGGTAACACCAGAGGGGCAGGGGTAGTGGTGACGGTAACACCAGAGGGGCAGGGGTAGTGGTGACAGTAACACCAGAGGGGCAGGGGTAGTGGTGACAGTAACACCAGAGGGGCAGGGGTAGTGATGACGGTAACACCAGAGAGGCAGGGGTAGTGGTGACAGTAACACCAGAGGGGGCAGGGGTAGTGGTGACAGTAACACCAGAGGGGCAGGGGTAGTGGTGACAGTAACACCAGAGGGGCAGGGGTAGTGGTGACAGTAACACCAGAGGGGCAGGTGTAGTGGTGACAGTAACACCAGAGGGGCAGGGGTAGTGGTGACGGTAACACCAGAGGGACAGGGGTAGAGGTGACGGTAACACCAGAGGGGCAGGTGTAGTGGTGACAGTAACACCAGAGGGGCAGGGGTAGTGGTGACGGTAACACCAGAGGGACAGGGGTAGAGGTGACGGTAACACCAGAGGGGCAGGGGTAGTGGTGACGGTAACACCAGAGGGACAGGGGTAGTGGTGACGGTAACACCAGAGGGGCAGGGGTAGAGGTGACGGTAACACCAGAGAGGCAGGGGTAGTGGTGACGGTAACACCAGAGGAGCAGGGGTAGAGGTGACGGTAACACCAGAGGGGCAGGGGTAGAGGTGACGGTAACACCAGAGGGGAAGGGGTAGAGGTGACAGTAACACCAGAGGGGCAGGGGTAGTGGAGACGGTAACACCAGAGGGGCAGGGGTAGTGGTGACGGTAACACCAGAGGGGCAGGTGTAGTGGTGACAGTAACACCAGAGGGGTAGGGGTAGTGGTGACAGTAACACCAGAGGGGCAGGGGTAGTGGTGACAGTAACACCAGAGGGGCAGGTGTAGTGGTGACAGTAACACCAGAGAGGCAGGGGTAGTGGTGACGGTAACACCAGAGGGGGCAGGTGTAGTGGTGACAGTAACACCAGAGGGGCAGGGGTAGTGGTGACAGTAACACCAGAGGGGCAGGGGGAGTGGTGACAGTAACACCAGAGGGGCAGGGGTAGTGGTGACAGTAACACCAGAGGGGCAGGGGTAGTGATGACGGTAACACCAGAGAGGCAGGGGTAGTGGTGACAGTAACACCAGAGGGGGCAGGTGTAGTGGTGACAGTAACACCAGAGGGGCAGGGGTAGTGGTGACAGTAACACCAGAGGGGCAGGGGTAGTGGTGACAGTAACACCAGAGGGGCAGGTGTAGTGGTGACAGTAACACCAGAGGGGCAGGGGTAGTGGTGACGGTAACACCAGAGGGACAGGGGTAGAGGTGACGGTAACACCAGAGGGGCAGGTGTAGTGGTGACAGTAACACCAGAGGGGCAGGGGTAGTGGTGACGGTAACACCAGAGGGACAGGGGTAGAGGTGACGGTAACACCAGAGGGCCAGGGGTAGTGGTGACGGTAACACCAGAGGGACAGGGGTAGTGGTGACGGTAACACCAGAGGGGCAGGGGTAGAGGTGACGGTAACACCAGAGAGGCAGGGGTAGTGGTGACGGTAACACCAGAGGGGCAGGGGTAGAGGTGACGGTAACACCAGAGGGGCAGGGGTAGAGGTGACGGTAACACCAGAGGGGAAGGGGTAGAGGTGACAGTAACACCAGAGGGGCAGGGGTAGTGGAGACGGTAACACCAGAGGGGCAGGGGTAGTGGTGACGGTAACACCAGAGGGGCAGGTGTAGTGGTGACAGTAACACCAGAGGGGTAGGGGTAGTGGTGACAGTAACACCAGAGGGGCAGGGGTAGTGGTGACAGTAACACCAGAGGGGCAGGTGTAGTGGTGACAGTAACACCAGAGGGGCAGGGGTAGTGGTGACGGTAACACCAGAGGGGGCAGGTGTAGTGGTGACAGTAACACCAGAGGGGCAGGGGTAGTGGTGACAGTAACACCAGAGGGGCAGGGGGAGTGGTGACAGTAACACCAGAGGGGCAGGTGTAGTGGTGACAGTAACACCAGAGGGGCAGGGGTAGTGGTGACAGTAACACCAGAGGGGCAGGTGTAGTGGTGACAGTAACACCAGAGGGGCAGGGGTAGTGGTGACAGTAACACCAGAGGGGCAGGGGTAGTGGTGACAGTAACACCAGAGGGGCAGGGGTAGTGGTGACGGTAACACCAGAGGGGCAGGGGTAGTGGTGACAGTAACACCAGAGGGGCAGGGGTAGTGGTGACAGTAACACCAGAGGGGCAGGGGTAGTGGTGACGGTAACACCAGAGGGGCAGGGGTAGTGGTGACAGTAACACCAGAGGGGCAAGGGTAGAGGAGACGGTAACACCAGAGGGGCAGGGGTAGTGGTGACGGTAACACCAGAGGGGCAGGTGTAGTGGTGACAGTAACACCAGAGGGGCAGGGGTAGTGGAGACGGTAACACCAGAGGGGCAGGGGTAGTGGTGACAGTAACACCAGAGGGGTAGGGGTAGAGGAGACGGTAACACCAGAGGGACAGGGGTAGTGGTGACGGTAACACCAGAGGGGCAGGGGTAGTGGAGACAGTAACACCAGAGGGGCAGGGGTAGTGGTGACGGTAACACCAGAAGGGGCAGGGGTAGTGGTGACAGTAACACCAGAGGGGCAGGTGTAGTGGTGACAGTAACACCAGAGGGGCAGGTGTAGTGGTGACAGTAACACCAGATGGGCAGGTGTAGTGGTGACAGTAACACCAGAGGGGCAGGGGTAGTGGTGACAGTAACACCAGAGGGGCAGGGGTAGTGGTGACGGTAACACCAGAGGGGCAGGGGTAGTGGTGACAGTAACACCAGAGGGGCAGGGGTAGTGGTGACAGTAACACCAGAGGGGCAGGGGTAGTGGTGACAGTAACACCAGAGGGGCAGGGGTAGTGGTGACAGTAACACCAGAGGGGCAGGGGTAGTGGTGACAGTAACACCAGAGGGGCAGGGGTAGTGGTGACAGTAACACCAGAGGGGCAGGGGTACTGGTGACAGTAACACCAGAGGGGCAGGGGTAGTGGTGACAGTAACACCAGAGGGGCAGGGGTAGTGGAGACGGTAACACCAGAGGGACAGGGGTAGTGGTGACGGTAACACCTGAGGGGCAGGGGTAGTGGTGACCGTAACACCAGAGGGGCAGGGGTAGTGGTGACGGTAACACCAGAGGGGCAGGGGTAGTGGTGACGGTAACACCAGAGGGGCAGGGGTAGTGGTGACAGTAACACCAGAGGGGCAGGTGTAGTGGTGACAGTAACACCAGAGGGGCAGGGGTAGTGGTGACAGTAACACCAGAGGGGGCAGGGGTAGTGGTGACGGTAACACCAGAGGGGCAGGTGTAGTGGTGACGGTAACACCAGAGGGGCAGGGGTAGAGGAGACGGTAACACCAGAGGGGCAGGGGTAGAGGAGACGGTAACACCAGAGGGGCAGGGGTAGAGGAGACGGTAACACCAGAGGGGCAGGGGTAGAGGAGACGGTAACACCAGAGGGGCAGGGGTAGTGGTGACGGTAACACCAGAGGGGCAGGGGTAGAGGAGATGGTAACACCAGAGGGGTAGGGGTAGAGGTGACAGTAACACCAGAGGGGCAGGGGTAGAGAAGACGGTAACACCAGAGGGGCAGGGGTAGTGGTGACGGTAACACCAGAGGGGCAGGTGTAGAGGAGACGGTAACACTAGAGGGGCAGGGGTAGTGGTGACAGTAACACCAGAGGGGCAGGGGTAGTGGTGACGGTAACACCAGAGGGGTAGGGGTAGTGGAGACAGTAACACCAGAGGGGCAGGGGTAGAGGAGATGGTAACACCAGAGGGGCAGGGGTAGTGGTGACGGTAACACCAGAGGGGCAGGGGTAGTGGTGACTGTTACGAACCCGGATCCAGCGTCTGAGCCTGGAGCAGTGACAAACACGCCATCTGTGGGTCAGCTCCCGAAACCCCCGCCAAACGAACGACGACACCTAGTGAGGACAGCGTGTACTGGCCTCGAGGACCAGTTTCCAGTCTGGTTCAGCGCTCAACACCGCCGCTCCTGACCTCTGGTGAGGTGGTGCTCCGACGACAGCGCCATCTATGGACTGGATACGTCAGGTGTTTGTGCCCTAGCCTGTGAGTGTGGTGTATTAGTGTCCCAGTTATTGATGACGTGTCTGCTTACAGAGTCGACCTGGGACCACTGTGTTGACGATTGAGTCAGTCTACCCGAGGCAGCCAGTCTCCATACGGTGAAGTTTGCTGCAGCTGTTGTGACGTCGTCCCCCCGGAAGAACACTGTGGTGTGTTAAGCCTGCCAGTGGAGTGGCAGTGAAAGGATTTACCCGGGACCGACGGTTGGAGACGATAATCCACTGGGGTATTGAGGACAGGAGGGTGATTGGTGATATCACACGAGACTCCTGTCTAGGGCGTACCCCTTTTATCGTTCGTGGAGTGGCCGTACCAGCCTTGGTGGCTCAGTACCTGCCAGCAGACCTGCTGGACGTGTGGTTGACGGCCTCCACGACGGTGCCCCCAGTGGACCTGTGTTGTGGCTGACCTGTGGCCAGGGTAGGCTCGGCGTTCTCAGAGGACACGTCTTGAGGCCACGAAGAAAGCACCGCGGACTCAGCACCTAGCTTCGTGATCAAGAGTCTTCAGCA